CAGAGCACGAGGGAAGTACTGGAAAGGAAAAGATTGATCCAAGTACTACGCACGTGCTACAACCTGGGCTAAGGCTGCAACTGAGAATAACAGTGATCCAGAAGGATGCTGCTGGACGAGCGACGGCTATTTTCAAGATATTTTTGCTGTCAAATAACTGTTAGCTGGTAGCGGTTTAAAAGTAGAAATAATAATGATAGGATTGTCAATTAGTAACTCCTATAACTCTTATTATTTTGCCAATAATGTCACTATCAATTTTGTTTTTACACACTCCCCTATCAGTTATTTGATAAGAAAATATCTTGAAAAAAACCACGCATCTGTCTATCAACGTCGCTCTGAGTTACCCGAAATCCCCAGCGGCCCCTCTATTGTCTTAGCCTGGGCTGAAGCATTTGTGTGATAATTTAGCGAGAAAAAAGATAAAATAGGGTGGAACTGAACCGTAAAGAATTGCTGTGCTCACAGAGTTTCTGTTTCGATTTCAGAATATATAAAGGAACACTGGGTTGTGATGAAATCTCCTAAGTATCACAACTAATAGCGATAAATCCTAGCAGTGTACTGTAGCAAACTAAAAGGGGCCCAAAAAATAAGGGGATACAGAGGGGAGGAGTGGTGTGAAATAAAGAAAATAAAGAATTAGTAAAGGGCAAACCAATTTGTTTGCCATCCTTATCGGATTCGGATCGCGCTTCTATTAAAAAAATGGGTAATATTCAAACTCGAATTTAGATTATCAAGCTGATCTTGATTGTGAATAACACAGTTTCCTGAAGCAAACAGAGAGCATGTAGCTCATATAAAATGCGGCCGACTGTGCGCCATTTTTATGTGTTGGCTGGACAAATGCTCACTGATCTCGAGGGTATTTTGAAGAGGTCACCAAGATCACCCGGGCTGTTGGCATGCAACTTCTAATACTACTGATGTGCAAGAGCTAAATGTTCTTGCGTCTTTACCCTGTGTCCGTGTCTTTATCCACCGTTCGGGTGAATTTGCTTTAGCCGAAGTTACAGAGTAATGTTCAGTCGACGCTTTTTTGTCCAGGCCATTTATTTTCTAATAGTTCAGAATGCAATCATTCCTTCCAGGACTTACATCATTGTGGGGCGTAATGCAGCAGGAAGTAGTACAGCTATCGTTTAGAATGATCAACGCCATCAGTGGGATAACTAGTCTCTCTACGGTTCGTCCACTCGTTTCAGTGCCTAGTTACCGCCGGCATTTGCCAGAGAGTCAAACCCGTCATCAGCTTGCTTATCAGTAACCCACAGAAGAGGAAACCATCACCACTCTTGTCAGCGGATGATTACTGCTGGCTCTTGCTACAACTTGAGCTTGTTTACGGGTGCACAGAGAGGGAATGCCAAGAAAGAGACTGGCTTTTTGAATTTGATGAAATTCTCCATCACAATCATCGTCTCAAGTGTTTTAGAGCATATGGCTGACGACGTTGCAGAAAAGCTGCGGCATGCAGTCATTCACCGTTAAAGCAAATTTTGCTCTAATTTGTTTGTATCATTCACCTTTGAAAAGTTTTTTAGAAAAATGAATGAAGACATTGATCCGGCGATTGCTGAGCAGCGAAACAGAAAAGAGAGAGCTGAGTCAATTCTGAACTATCTGAAAAATACTCTGCGTGACGATGATGGCCGTACCGTAACGAGAAGGCAGAAGCTCCGGCGAATTTTGTCAGTGCTTTTCCATTTGATACGCATTGTCGACAAAGATGAAGAACAATATGCTGACGAAGAAGGAAACCCGGCAGCAAGTCAGTTTTTGGTTCGGTACCACAAAAACGGTAGTTTCGAGTTTCGGTACCAAAAGTGGTAGTTTCGGTAGCATAAAATTGGTAACTGCCAATACATTCTTTTCACTTATGCATTCTTTTTTCTTACCCTCTGCTTGAAAAATTTATCTTGATAAATACACATTTCGTGTTTTTCGATTTTCAGATTTCCTTGGTAAAAGTGACAACATCCTAAACAATTTTTAACATTAGGTTTTCTGTCAATCGTCTGTGAGAAAACATAATTTCCTAACCAGAACGATATTCTTGAAGAAATTTTGCAATCGGTAATAGATTTTTAATTACAGTGAACTGGGAAAACAGGGCGCTAATTCTTTTAATCAGATCACAGTTCTTGACTGTGTTCGCTCACAGTGATGTTCAACGACTGCGAGGTATATTGATTTAAATGCTATTTTTTGCGTAGATTTTTTTTTTTTCTTGGCACAATTTGTTTTTGGTAATGAAGGCGATTTGTGCCGGGCGAGGAAGGGGCCCCGCAATGAGGTCAAAATGTGCTAGGGATAGTAAAGAGAAGAAAAACGTATAGTAATGGCTGAAATTTATCACTTGAATTTTCTCTGGAGATTGCAGTGACATCAAGCTTCATGACGAAATCTTTGAGCCTGTGCGATTCAGAAAGATGTTTTAAAAAAATTTTGCTTGAAAACTGAATTTGCAACCAAAAACGGCTAATTTTGGTAATGATTTACGGTATTAAGCAAATTGTAGCAAAGCAAGCACCACTGCTAACTAAAATTGCTGCAACAAGTTTGATTTAAAACGTGAACTTCCCTCACGGAGCGAATCGAGAAATATTTTTCTGTTTTATTATGCGTTTTTGCCTATATGCAAATTGCAAAAACGCATATTGGGACGACCCTGTCTGTG